TATACAAAATTTTAACTATTTATTTTTCTATTTTCATTAGTTGAGATTTTATATAAATTAATATATAAAATTTATGTGTAAATAAATTCTTACTCCTATATATTTGCATGTTCTCTTTAGTCTTTATATCTCTTTAATTTTTTTTAACTTGTTTCTTTCTTACTTTAAAACAGTTTTATGGTTACTTTCACTTAAACACATGAATTAATAACATGTTTTTACTCGTATTCCCCTGTTGTGGCCCAATGGTGGCCATTGCTGCCTAAAAGGGCAGTCGATGAAATGCACTCTTGATCTCAGGTTCAATTCCTTTCAGAACAGATATTAATCTACTAATCTAACTATTTTCTTTGTCAAAAAAAAAAATAATATGTTTTTACTCATTGGATAACAAATTATTGATGTCAATTTTTTTTTTTTAATTTGAATAATCAAGAAGTTAGGGTCAACTTACATGCACTTTAAAATAAATCTCTTTAAAAATTATCTTATTGATATACTTCTTGCATTAGTTCACTATATTTAAAAGAATTTATTATAGAGTTAATTATTTGATATTATAAAATTTTAAATTTTTTACTTTTATCTTAAATTAAAGATTTTAAATTACTAAATATCAGCTTGACAAGGTTTTTGTTGGAGTTGACACTAAAATTTTAACTCTAAATTTCACCTATATAAAACGACATTTAATGAATCTAATCCACATTAATAACTTTTATTAACGAACATTATCAATATTTATTTAGAAATAAAAAAAGAAAAGAAGGAAGGAAGCGTCATCAATAAATTAATATCATATTGTCCAATTAACAGAAGAACCGAAGACCCTATCGCTTTCGATTTGTTTAAGATAGAGAGGTGCGTGCTCTTCATGTCAATGTACCGTGTGGCGTGAGATGCAAGTTGATGGACATAATCCAGCATTTCCTCTTTTCCTTTTTTTTGGCCCAATACTTGTGTTTGTCCATGGGAAACTGTTATGTATCTGTAGTGGTGTGCAACTATACTTGGTTAGTAAATTTATTAATTTGGCTAAAATCTTGTTAATTTCCTTTCTTTTCTTTTCTTTTTTCGTTGGTTGACTATTCATTCATAAAGAGGGGTCGCCAGGCTGAGGTCAAGCAATGTTGATGTTGTAGGCGAAGTCTTTAGGAATTAGGATGAGGTATGGTATGCATTTTAATATATTTTACTTGATCAAAGGTAAATTATGTTAACATCTAATATGTTTATATGTTACTAAAATACATTAGTCGATATTAAATGAGTTATGATTTAATTAATAAAAATTTTTATTTTTTATTTTGTCGATTAATATTTGATTATTTAAAAAGATCAATAATAAGATAAGTTTTTATAAATTATATAATTTTAATGTGAATAACATGTGTTTTCAATTAAATTGAAAAGAAAAAGTTAAGGCACCTTTACTACTAAGCCAAAAAAGAAAAAAATAATTTCTTGATAATCTTAGAACTTATAAACAGGTCTTGCCTTCTGATTTTGGGTTTTTTTTTTTCTTTTCTTTTCTTTTCCCGCATAAATTTTTTTTTTTTTAAACAATTGATCATGGGCAGGTCGAACCCAACCAGGGAGGGAAATGCACCTTTTTCATTGTGGCAGTTGCCACTAAACCTTAAGGCCAGGTGCCTTTTCCCGCATAATTGACTATAAAAACGTTTTAAAAAAAAATGGTCTCACAATCCATGCTTCATTTCTAATGGGCCACGTGTGCCGACATGATTATAAATTCCACGAATTGCATGTACAAGGAAGGAATCTACATAGAGTCATAGACCATAACCACCCGCTTCCCTATCATATCCATTCACGTCACCCACTTTAATCTCGCTTAACAGCCACGTAAAAACCTACCTTCAAAGCATCATTTTTTGCATGACCTTTTGAACAGTTAGGATACGTCACTAAGTTAACTTATTTGTACCTTTAAATAATCTCGATTATTATAAAATAATTTTAAGGGTGTACATCCTATATCACACATTCACTAAATATGATTCTAGAGAAACGACATCTGGCCCTGAACTTTCAACTAGCAACACGATAAAAAAGTAATAGGCTAAAATTTTATTTTAGTTCCTTTATTTCAATAAAAAGTTTATTTTAATCTTTTAATAAAAAAAGTTCCTTTTTAGTTCTTAAAATTTAAAATTTAACATTTTTTAGTTCTTTTGCTATTTTTTACATATGTGACATATTAGATAACAAAAATTTTGAAGTAAAAGAACTAAAAAACCCTTTTTGATCTTTTTACTTTAAACAAAAATCCTTTTTAATCTTTCCATTTTGAAATTTTCATTATTTAACATGATATTTATGAAAAAAAATAAAAGGATTAAAAAAGGGCTAGATTTTAAATTTTAAGAAAAAAAGAGAGAGCTTTTTATTAAAGTAAAAGTATAAAAAGGAGTTTTAACCAAAACAATATGAATCAAAGGACATAATGACACCAATTACTTGTTGGTCTAAATAGAAAAAACTCAATTTATCTTGACTTTGAGTTTGAGTTTTGTGAATGAAAAATTAGGTACTAGGAGAGTTTTGCCCAAAGTTGTTAATACCGTACAAGCATACGTACTAGTTTTGCTACTGAAACAGTACGTACCAGATACTGAAATTTTTCACATACCGTTTTAAATTTATTGCTATAAATATATATTTTTAAAAATTAAATTTCAAATTTTAAAATAAAATAAAAAATACTAAACCATCATATTCCTATAAATTGATACAAGTTTAAAATTACTATTTTTAGTCCCTCAACTTCTAATATATGTATATTTTTTGTCCATCCACTTTAAGTTAAAGGACTAAAAATGTGTATATTTAGACAAATTAAACGGAGTAATTGATAGAAAAACTAAAATTGATAGAAAAACTAAAAAAAATACATTTTTCATAGTTGATGAACTAAAAAAGTACATAGAAAAGTTAAATGGTGAAAATTATGTAAAACGTTAAAGTTGAGAACCAAAATGGAATTTACCCTTGTTAAATTTGAATTGAGCTCTATTGGCGAATTTTCATCTATCGGTCAGTGCGTCGAAATATCTGTCGATACACCAAAATTTGATTGAAATAAACGAAATTTGACTGAAATAAAATTAGACCATATATCGTTTCAATTTAATGTAAAAATTGGTATATGCCGACCATACCAGCTGGTACAGTACGATATCAATAATATTGGTTTTGTCACTTATGAAGTTTAGCATGAGTCAATTCTAAATTAGTTAAGATTTAATATAATTGCTGGAGACTGAGAGGATAGTAGTTAAAAAAAAAAAAAAAGACAAAATGGCTTGTGGGCCTGCATATATCGTTTCAATTTAATGTAAAAATTGGTATATACCGACCATACCAACTGGTACAGTACTACATCAATAATATTGGTTTTGTCACTTATGAAGTTTAACATGAGTCGATTATAGATTAGTCAAAATCCAATATAATTGCCGGATACTGAAAGGATAGTAGTAAAAAAAAAAAAAAAGACAAAATGGCTTGTGGGCCTGTACATTCAAGCAAGTCTCTACCACATGGTCTGCTGCCTGATGGACTTGGTCGGTGCAGTCCATTACCTGTTGAGTCCAAGAAAAGCTTGGGGAATTATATGGAAGCCCAATGGGCCCAAACATTTTAACCAGGCGGCAGTTTAGACGGCCGAAAGTGGAAAAACGTGTAGATTGAATGGGCCAAAGGGGACATCCCACGTGGCAAGCACGAAAATCATCGAAAAGGCACGCATAGGTAGGTGGAGATTACATTTGGTGCTACGTGGCAAAACAGACAAAGAAAGGATAGGAATGGCATAAAGGTAAACTAAAATTATAATT